ACATATAGAGAGATAGCTACACCCATATGTATATCTCTGAAAATGTAAGACAAGATATAATGTGTACTTACTATTCTCTTTTGCCATTTTCTAGTTTGGGGGAAAGTTCTATTAAATCTAAGTTGATAAACATTATTCCCCCTGCTAATACCACAAGTCCTGACTTGTAAGGAGGACAAAGCTGAGGTCAGTGCATAAGTATGAGCTGCGGATCTTGTGAAAACACAGATTCTGATTGAGTAGGCATGGAGTGCAACCTGAGTTTCTGCTTCAGGTGATGCTGATTCTGCTAGTCTGTGGCCCACACTTTGAATAGCAAGGGACTGGATGGTTTCTGGTAATCCTTTCTAATTCTGTTGCAGTTGTTTTGCTTGAAAAACTTTCTACCTTTTGGAAGTATTCACTTATAAATCACTTATAGTTTAATCTGTATAGTTTCAGGTGATAACAAAATAGGACATTTCAAGGCAATGAATTAAAAAGGTAAGTAACAATATTAAATATAACCCAGAATTTTCTCTAAGGCAATAAACATTTTCAAAGTAAGTGACAAGTGTGAGGCTTGAATTTTTAAGGATGCACTTAAAATCCAGTGGACAAGCCATTGTTGAGTGAAAATTCAGGCCTCGTCTCTCTTATTGGAAGGTGAATGTGAGCTAGATCAGTAGATATCAAAGTTTTTGTTTGTGACGCACAGTGAGAAACATATTTTAGGTTATGATCTTGCACATAAATAACAGTTTCACAAACAAAACAATATTAATATGTACTCTGATAACATTCATTCTATAGCAATCCTTTTTTTTTTTTTTGAGACGGAGTTTCACTTTTATTGCCCAGGCTGGAGTGCAATGGTGCGATCTCGGCTCACTGCAACCTCCACCTCCCAGGTTCAAGCAATTCTCCTGCCTCAGTCCTCTGAGTAGCTGGAATTACAGGCATGCGCCACCACGCCTGGCTTACTTTGTATTTTTAGTAGAGATGGGGTTTCTCCATGTTGGTCAGGCTGGTCTTGAACTTCTGATCTCAGATGATTTGCCCAGCTCGGCCTCCCTCTCAAAGTGCTGGGATTACAGGCGTGAGCTACCGCACCTAGTCTGCAATCTATTTTTTAAAATGCTTTTCACAAGCGCATAGTGGCCTGCAACTCGCAAAATTGGAACTGGATGACCTTTTCAGCCTTCATCTTTAAAAAAAAAAAATCACTATTCATTGGCAAAATGTGATAAAATTGTATTGCATTTAGGTTCCTAAAGCATTCATTTGTCTTTTTTTTTTTTTTTTTTCCGGAGATGGAGTCTTGCTCTGTTGCCCAGGCTGGGGTGCATTGGCACGATCTCGGCTCACTGTAAGCTCCGCCTCCTGGGTTCAAGCAATTCTCCTGCCTCAGCCTCCCAAGTAGCTGGGACCACAGGTGCATGATGCCATGCCAGGCTAATTTTTTGTATTTTAATAGAGATGGGGTTTCACCATGTTGCCCAGGCTGGTCTCAAACTCCTGAGCTCAGAGAAACCACCCACCTCGGCCTCTCAAAATGCTAGGATTACAGGCGTTTCTATTGTGTGAAATGGAATATTGGAAAGTGGGATTCCAGGGTAGGCTGGATGGCAGAAAAGACCTGCTTGCTATGTCTTCCAGGAGCACTTTTTATTATAGCTACCACTTATTTTCCCCCTAATCTACAATATAACTACATGTTTGACTTCTGGAATTTTATAAAGGCAAACTGGAGTATTTTTCCCTCAAAACTACTTAACCCTCACTTAAGCAGGCAGTAGAGCAGCATGAACTGATGGCAGGCTGTCTGGTCAACATCCTGGCCATCCCACGTACTAGCTGTATAATTTTAGTCTACTTACTTAACCTTACGTGCCTCACTTTCCTCATCTGTGAAATGGGAACAGTAATACTAGTTGAGTATCCCTTTTCCAAAATGCTTGGGACCGGAAGTATTTAGAATTTCAGATTTTTTTTTTTTTTTTGATTTTGGAATATTTGCATAAACATAATGAGATATCTTGGGGATGGGACCTAGGTCTAAACATAAAATTATGTTTCATATATACCTCATACACATAGCTTGAAGGTCATTTTATACAACATTTTAAATAATTTCGTACATTAAACAAAGTTTGTGTACACAAGGTCAAGGGTGAAATTTTCTACTTGTGGTGTTGTATCAGTGCTCAAAACTTTTGGATTTTTGAATTAGGGATGGTCAGCCAATAGTTCCTACCTAATAGAATTGAGGTGAAGATTGAATGAGTTAACATCGTAGACAAGCACAACAGGAATGTTATTAGCTACTGTTAGCTAGGCTTAAATTACAATGTAAAGTTTGAGCCTAACTCCAATTTCATGACAAAGTAGAAGAGTAGCAATATAATACGTATTACTTATTAATATAATAATAAGTACTTCTAAACCAGTGTCTTGATATTGAGCTATAGTAAATATTAAGTCCAATAAAAGTGCTTTTTTTTGTTGTTGTTGTTTGAGACGGAGTCTCGCTCTGTAGCCCAGGCTGGAGTGCAGTGGCTGGATCTCAGCTCACTGCAAGCTCCGCCTCCCGGGTTCACGCCATTCTCCGGCCTCAGCCTCCTGAGTAGCTGGGACTGCAGGCGCTGCCACCTCGCCCGGCTATTTTTTGTATTTCTTAGTAGAGACGGGGTTTCACCGTGTTAGCCAGGATGGTCTCGATCTCCTGACCTCGTGATCTGCCCATCTCGGCCTCCCAAAGTGCTGGGATTACAGGCTTGAGCCACCGCGCCCGGCCAAAAGTGCTTTTGGTAATCCCAAATGCAATTTCCCCTCAGTCCTGATTCAAACAGGCCTGCAATAACTTAGTTATCCAACTGATTAGCATTCTAAAACCATACTGAGGGAAAAAATTCTACCAGAAATTTACATCTTGTACTAGAAAATGAAGATCCAGTAATGTCACATTTCTGTGGGAACGTAACAATCAGGGCTTTTGTGGTTTAAATGGAACGATGCAGGCTCCATTCTGTGTAACACCAAAGAAAGTATGACATGTTTGAGAAATTTGTATTTTTTTGCATGATGGTCTTCCTTTCTTTGTTGTTACTCATTTTTGGGGTGGAGGGAGGTCAGTGGAAAGTACTTATGGAAGTTTAGAAAAAGATAGATTCAGCTGCTAAAGGAAGGAAATACGGTATCCATTTTTTCAAATGTTCTACCTATTAAATTGTGAAAATAATAGTATAGATACCCTTTCAAAGTTCTAAATTGGTTAACTTTCCCCCAAAACACTAACAAGTGAACCTAAACAGCTACAATCTAAACTTTTATAAATATGGTCTAGAACTAAATATTCTACCTGTCATGGGAGTGATTACACCACAGAAGGAAGTGAGAATCAGTCATACTTGCCTTCTTGCTTATGACATGTCGTTGCTGTCTGTGTAGGTAAAAATCTATTACTATAGTTAGTCATCTAAATTGCCATAGGGAACTGGTGTGTGTTCAGTGCCTAACTGCAGCTTAACCACTTCTAAAACTGGAACCATAAAGGCTTCATATGCATGTGGATTTTCATAACGTCAGAATGGGAGTAAGGCACAGAGTATTTAAAATAAAGGTATTTTTCCAAATAAGGTCTAAAAGGAAAACATGAACTCCCTCCTCTCCCTAGTTCCCTACTCCTGTTAGTCATAAAGCTTGCCCAAATGCATCCTCTCTTTCCCACCCCTCCGCCCTCCCTGTGTCCTTGCCCAGGACTTCGTTAGCCCACATTTGCATCTCTACAGCCTCCTGCAGGCTGCCTTGAGATCTGAGGCCTTTCCAGCATATCATATCCTTAATACTACTGCTGGACCTAATCTGTTAAAAACATTACTTTGGGCTTGTCATCTTCTCTCTTTATACTCTCATCACTTCCTTGCTTTAACGTTCCCAAGCTTGCAGATGGCCACTTGAGTCCTGGCAGCTCTCCTGATTGCCCCTCATGCATACATACACTGGAACCTTCCCACTGAACTCCTGTATCCAGATGTTCCACCATCACGCTCCAAATCCTGCATGGCAAATGCCATCTTGCTCCTCTCCCCAAGTCAAAGATTTCAGGGCACTGACTTTCATTCAGTCACTCGAGCTAGCAATCTAGAAGTTATCTTTGGCTCTTCCCATGTCCTCAGCAGCACAGACAGTTCATAAGTTCTGGCCCCACTGGGTTGTCCCCATCTGCCTTCCTTACATTCACTTCTTGTGACTTTTTGCCCACATGAGTAGACTTTGCAATTTAATGCTGTATTTTAAGGACATAGAAAATATGAGAAAGTATATGTATTTATGTTAAAAGGTAAGAAATTAAGCTTTCTTAATATTTGCTATAAGGATAGACACTGGGTCCTCAATTTGTCTCTTACGTTCGATGATCACGTGTCAAATAGAATACTAGGAAGGATCCTGAGGGCATGGTAGGAGTTCCACTGTCAGTGTATCACTCTGTATTGCTGTTTCCTTGCTATGAGTTGTTTTCAATGGGTCTCATTTTGTAAAAGCAAGATTTTAAAATAACAGGCCATGGCCTGGTGCAGTGGCTCACACCTGTAATCCCAGCACTTTGGAAGGCTGAGATGGGCAGATCACGAGGTCAGGAGATCGAGACCGTCCTGGCTAACACAGTGAAACCCCGTCTCTACTAAAAATAAATAAATAAATAAATAGCCGGGCATGGTGGCGGGTGCCTGTAGTCCCAGCTACTCCAGGGGCTGAGGCAGGAGAATGGCATGAACCCAGGAGGCGGAGCTTGCAGTGAGTTGAGATTCCGCCACTGCACTCCAGCCTGGGCAACAGTGGGAGACTCCATCTCAAAAAATAATAATAATAAAATAATAGTAATAAATAAATAAATACAATAAATTAACAGGCCATCACTAAAATGGCCAGGCAAACCTTTTCTTACCACCAGGAGTTTTCTGACTTTTTTTTGGCAAAGTACTTAAAGATAAGTTACACATATTTTTTATTTCTTTTAGATGAAAGTGTCATAAGTTAGATTCCTGGGAAGAAAATTCTGAGACACATTCTGCTGGATGATTATTAGGGCTCATCCTTGGTTTCAACACCCATAGAAGGAAGGGGGAAGAAGGAATCGAACAGAGGAGAGACAGAAGTCGAGATGCATTTCAGGCCGGGACTCTTGACTGAACCCACAGGAGCTTTGGAGCTAGAATGGCCCTTCAGAGTTTTCCTGAGTTGGGCTGAGATGGCCAGTTCTTTATATTCCTGCATGGGATAGTCACTGGATGTCCACCCCAGGAAGCAGTGTGGCCAAGACAGTCCCTGAAATGCCTGCCAGCACTCCCTATACCTGGAGCAATGAGACCAACATCACAGGGGGATATACTGGGTGAGGATCACAGCATTCATCCCAGAAGATGAGGATACAGAATTGGCTGACTGCTACATTCTAAATGTCAATGTTCCCCAAAATTCATATGTTGAAACTTAATTCCCCAATGTGATGGCATTAGGAAAGGGGGCCTTTGGGAGGGGCTATAGGTCATGAGTGGGATTAGTGTCCAGAGAGCTGCCTTGCCCTTCCACCATGTGAGGACATAGTGAGAAGGTGCCATCTATGAACGAGGAAGTGGGCGCTTACTACCAGACACCCACTCTTCGGGCAACTTAATCTTGAATTTCCCAGCATCCAGAACTCTGAGAAATCAATTTCTGCTGATTATAAGCTACCCAGTCCATAGCATTTTGTTAAAGCAGCTGAAACTAAACTAAGACAGTGACGTTTTCTGCAACAAAAAGATAGAGTGAGTCTCTATAGCATACCATGTAACAGATGTGTTTGGAAAAATAACCTCATTTCATATGTTTCCTCAAGCTAAAAAGAATATCATAACAACAAATGAGAAAATAGTTGGTTTAGAAATATTGCACCCTATGGAGAGAGTATTTTGGATTTGGTTTTTTTGTTTTGTTTTTAACTTTTGTTTTAGGTTCAGGGGCACATATGCAGGCTGGTTATATAGGTAAACTCATGTCACAGGGATTTGTTGTACAGATAATTTCATCACCCAGGTACTAAGCCTAGTACCCAATAGTTGCTCTTTTTCCTCCTCTCCCTCCTCCCACCCTCCACCCTCAAATAGGCCCCAGTTTGTGTTGTTCCTTTCATTATGTTCATGAAGTTGAGAGAGTGTTTTGAAAAAGAATGTTGGAAAGCATTTCCACTGTTAGATGATTTTAAGTCAAAAAGTTATATAACAGTGTCACCTATCTAGATGCACACAAGCATGGACACAGAATTGTTTCATATGTTTAAAACTTTTCTAGATCCTTTTGTGGTTCATAAGCTTGATGATTGAGTTTTCACGTCCACGTGTGAGATGTGCCTCCCTTGAGCCTTGTTACAACATTGGCACATTCCCTGCCTGATGTGAACAATAAAAATAAAAAATAAAAATTTGCTAAACAGAGTTTCTGTGGATTTCTAACTTATTTATAAAAACAATAAAAATGTAACGTATTCCATTTAGTGTTCAAGAACAACTAAGTAACAGTGAAGGGGTGGCCTGCCCCTCCACACCTGTGGGTGTTTCTCGTTAGGTGGAACGAGAGACTTGAGAAAAGAAATAAGACACAGAGACAAAGTATAGAGAAAAGCGGGGGCCCAGGGGACTGGCGCTCAGCTTACAGAGGACCCACGCCAGCACCGGTCTCTGAGTTCCCTTAGTATTTATAGATAATTATCTTTACCAACTTAAAGATCAGGGAGTGGCAGGACAATAGGATCGTTTTTAGGGAGGAAATCAGCAGTAAGACATAAGAACAAGGATCTCTGTGACATGAATAAGTTTAAAGGAAAATCCTGTGCCTAGAGATAAACCTTTAGCAGCATTGTTTCATCCTATCACATGGGGATAAACCTTGGACAATACCTAGCTTTTCTAGGAACAAAGACACACCCTGCATGCCCAAAATCCATTAAACCTTGAGTTACCACAGCACATGTCTCTTGCAAGGACAAGGTTGGGGATAGGGTCACAGATTAACAGCATCTCAAATACAGAACAAAATGGAGTCTCTTATGTCTACTTCTTTCTATATAGACATAGTAACACGCTGATCTCTTTCTTTTCCCCACAAACAGTAAAGATGGAAATTTGCTAGCTGAATTTCAAGAAAAATATTTGTATAGTAAGTAGATGAGATAGAAAAAAATGTATGTCATAATTCAAAAGTTAGTCAGAAGCCTGGGTAACATAGTGAGACTCTGTCTCCACAAAAATTAAAAATTAAAAACATTAGCCAGGACAACAGACATGGGAGGTTGAGGTGGGAGGACCGCCTGAGTCCAGGAGTTTGGGGCCACAGTGAGCCATGATCACACCACTGCACTCCAGTCTGGGCAACCGAGTGAGACCCTGTCTAAAAAAAGAAAAAAACAAAAGTCAGTCAGAGGGGCAGTGTTTTCATTTGGAATTCTTCATTTTTTTAAGGTATTAAAGAAAAATGATTTCTTACCACACTGCTGACACAAATGTGGGCGTGTATGTCACAAGAACCAATTCTCCAACCCTCTGTACACCAGCTGAGTGTCCTACAATTCATTTCCTTTTTTTTTTTTTTCCTTTTGAGATGGAGTCTCAATCTGTGGCCCAGGCTGGAGTGCAGTGGTACGATCTCAGCTCACTGCAACCTCTGCCTCCCAGGTTCAAGTGATTCCCCTGCCTCAGCCTCCCTAGTAGCTGGGATTACAGGCGCCCATCACCATGCCCACCATGCCCAGTTAATTTTGTGTTTTTAGTAGAGACGGGGTTTTTCTACGTTGGCCAGGCTGGTCTCAAACTCCTGACCTCAGGTGATCCTCCTGCCTTGGCCTCCCAAAGTGCTGGGATTACAGGCGTGAGCCACCGTACCCGGCCCTGCAATTCATTTCTGACACTAACTACCCAGAGTTAGTGCAGCCCCCACGGGTTATGGGTCCATTCCACAAGACTGCCCCACTTTGGATTCCAGTGCCAGATCTGGGCCTACTGTATGTGTGAGCAATCAGCTATAAATCTGTACATCAGAGCTGTCCACCATCCTCTCCTCACACTCCATAAGTTGTTAGAACTGCTCACAGAACTCAGGGAAACATTTTACCTTCATTGACTGGTTTATTATAAAGAATATGATAGAGGATACAAATGAACAGCCAGATGAAGAGGTACATAAAGCAAGGTCCCCAGCACAGGAGCTGCTGTCCCCATGAAGTTGAGATGTGCCAACCTCCCAGCACGTGGTCGTACTCACCAACCCAGAAGCTTTCTGAACCTGGTAGTTTAGGGATTTAGTGGAGGCTTCATCATGGAAGCATGACTGATTATTAACTCAGTCGCTAGTCCCTCCCTCTTCCTCAGAGGATGCCGGGTGGAGCTGAAAGTTCCAAGCTTCTAATCATGGCTTGGTCTTTCTGGTGACCAGCTCCATTCAGGAGCCTACCAAGAGTTGCCTGGCTAGAACAAAATACATTCCCATCGGCTTTTGGACATCCCAATAATTTCCAAAGGATGTAGGACCTCTGTCTCAGGAACCAGAGTGTATTAGTCCATTCTCACATTGTTATAAAGAAATACCTGAGACTGGGTAATTTAGAAAGGAGGTTTAGTTGGCTCACAGTTCTGCAGGCTGTACAGGAAGTATAGTGGCTTCTGCTCTTGGGGAGGCCTCAGGAAGCTTCCAATTATGGCGGAAGACAAAGGGGTAGTGAGACATCTCACATGCCTGGAGCGGGAGCAAGAGAGCGGGGAGATGCCACACACTTTTAAACAACCAGATCTTGAGAGGACTTACTATTGTGAGAACAGTACTAAGAGGATGGTGCTAAACCATTCATGAGAAATCTGCCCCCATGATCCAGTCACCTCCCACCAGGCCCCACCCCAAACACTAGGGATTACAATTCCCCATGAGATTTGGGTGGGGACACATCCAAACCATATCACAGAGTTGAGGACCAAATATTAAAATAAAAGATGCTCCTAGTACTCCTATTGCTTGGGAAACTGCAAGAGTTTTAGGGGCTCTGTGTCAAGAACTGGAGACAGAGACCAAATATATATTTATTATTATGTCATAGATTATTTTAAATTATGACAAATATTAAAATTCAGTATTAAGATAAAGTGAATATAGGTCATTGAACTGCTAAACCTCAAAGTAGTAATCATTTTCAAAAGATTTTTTGAAGTAATGAAGACTGGTGATAGTTACTGATTGAATTATGTCTCACAAAAAGTTAAGTTGAAATCCTTATCCTCAGTTCCTATTTGGAAATAGGGTCATTGCAGATATAATTAGTTAAATTAAGATGAAGTCATAAGGGTTTTTTTTTTCTTTTTTGAGACAGAATTTTGTTCCTGTTTCCCAGGGTGGAGTGCAATGGCGTGATCTCAGCTCACTGCACCCTCCGCCTCCCCGATTCAAGCAATACTCCTGCCTCAGCCTCCCAAGTAGCTGGAATTACAAGCAGCCACCAACACGCCCGGCTCATTTTTGTATTTTTGGCAGAGACGGTGTTTCACCACGTTGGCCAGGCTGGTCTTGAACTCCTGACCTCAGGTGATCCATTCCCCTCGGCCTCCCAAAGTGATGGGACTACAGGTGTGAGGTACTGTGCTCAGCTGGTAGGCCCTTATATGACTGGTGTCCCTACAACAAGAGGAGAGAGCAGATACACATAGAGGAGAGGACCAGGTAAGGAGTCGTCGAAGACTACATTTATGTTGCCACTAGCCAGGGAACACCTGGGGCTATCCAGTGTTGGTGGAGGCAAGGAAGGATCCTCTCCTAGAACTTCAGAGGGTCCATGGCCCTCCTAGCAGCTTGATTTTGGACTTCTAGCCTCCACAAGAGTGACAGAATAAACTCCTGTTGTTTTAAGCTACCCAGTTTGTGGTTCTTTGTACTTTGTGGTTCCAGCAAACTAACACCGTGATATTAAAAATTTTCTCTACTATTAAAAATAAAGTTTTAGGTGGGGGAGATATCTCCTTCACCAAATGCAGCGCATTTGTGTGTTTTCAACGTTCAGAGAATTCTACCTTTTGAGGTTCTTGAAATGACTTGCAAATTAACTAAAGTTTTAAAGTAAACTTTTTTTTCCATTGTAAATATTTCTAAAAATACTACCCATTGGAAATTAGAAAAGTAGAGTACTTTTCTGAATCCAGTCCTGCTTTTATTTTTTTTATTTTTTATTTTTTTGAGACGGAGTCTCGCTCTGTCACCCAGGCTGGAGTGCAGTGGCCGGATCTCAGCTCACTGCAAGCTCCGCCTCCCGGGTTTACGCCATTCTCCTGCCTCAGCCTCCCGAGTACCTGGGACTACAGGCGCCCACTACCTCGCCCGGCTAGTTTTTTGTATTTTTTAGTAGAGACGGGGTTTCACCGTGTTAGCCAGGATGGTCTCGATCTCCTGACCTCGTGATCTGCCCGTCTCGGCCTCCCAAAGTGCTGGGATTACAGGCTTCAGCGACCGCGCCTGGCCAGTCCTGCTTTTATTTTACACAGTATTTCACAGCTGTGATCTCTGGAGCAAAAGCCAACAGGAAAAAAGTTTGTACGAGTATCATGAAGTATGTCTTTGGGCTTTCGTAAATAATTTTAACTCAAAACTGCTTCTTGCAATACAAAAATAAAATGTAAAAGCTTAAATATTTTATTCATATTCATCTCATCCTCTAGCATTTCTTTTTCTGTACATTCCATAATATAAAGTAACAAGTGTGATAATTTATAAACAAATATGTATTAAACGTGTGTGCTCAAAATTTTTGTTTTAACTTAAGAATGGCATACAATAAAAAAATACTTGAGTATGTGCTGGAAATTGTGTTTGAAAAGGTGTTTGCATAAATCATTTGAGGCCTAGGATGATGAGCTTCTTTCTTTGTTTCTGCCAGGTCTTAAGGCTATACTAATCCAGGATTCCCCTAATCCAGTTTCAGAAATTGAACTTTTCTGGGTCAGCCCGATCAGTCAAAGCCAACCAGGCTTCAGGTTTATTTTCAGTCACCCCTTTATTCCTGTGGTGAGGCCCTTTGGGGTCTGAGCCCTCTATGCCTGGGATTCTCTAGAGCCCCAGTCCCACAACTCCAGCTGTGCCCTTGTCAACCCAGAGTTGTGGAAAGCACTGCTCAGCCTCCTTTTAGGACCTTTGAATGCCCTCCCTGGGTAAAAGAACCTCCAAATGCCTGGTTCTTGTTTTAGATTTTCTATTTCTATCTTCTCCCCAATCTTGGCCCACTTATTTCTCATTGTCTCATTAGCTATTTGATTTTTTTTTTTTTTTTTTTTGAGATGGAGTTTCACTCTTGTTGCCCAGGCTGGAGTGCCCAGGATGGAGTGTTGCAGTGGTACGATCTCGCCTCACTGCAAACTCCGCCTCCCGGGTTCAAGCAATTCTCCAGCCTCAGCCTCCTGAGTAGCTG